CGAATCCGCCGTCGTCTTCTGCTGGAACCGACCTTCGAAACTATTCACCCAACACGTTTACTCTAAATAGAAGTAAGCTCAACATTTATGAAACAAGAGATTCCTCGAAACCCAACTTTTCTTCGCATATGCAAAATTTATGACATAACAACAAAATTTCCTTAAACTTAAACATGTTCAATCATGAATAAACTATTAATGCAGAAATTAGCTAACATAAGATGGCAAGGCCGATTAAAAACTCTAATATGCGACCGCTTATTTGCAATTCGATTATGCTAACTGGAATGAAGCAATCTATGTCAGTCTCATTAATATTATTGATAATGAGGATCAAAAACGAATCCAGCGTAGGATGATTAAATTCAAGCCAATAAAATAAATTAATCTTTTTTACATTAAGAAAATATGAGTGCAAAATGACTTAAGAGGAGTTTACAGAGTGAAGTACCGGAGCAAAGTATATGACTGCATAATCGGCCATCTCATCTCAGAGTCCAAACTTACTTGATAACCCCTCAACTCAGGAAACTCCAAGAATGAAGGCAAGTGGTTCGAAAAACGCCAGTTAAACTGTATTGTATCCTGTTGTTGGCCATCGCTACCGTAGCCATCAAATTGTGGGGTTTTGTTCGACTCAATTAGGGCTTCAATACCAAATTCCGCTCGAATGAGTGGACCACTTGGGGTCTCAGGGGTATCAGAGAAGACAATCTGGCATAAGCATAAAGGATCGTGTAAAGGAGTTAGATTAGTTAGTCAGGTCTGAAAAATATATAATTATTGGCCGATACAGGTGTTAAACAACCAGATTTACACTCCGAAGAGCAAACCATCCAATTTATGTAAGTTTTTGCTAAGGATTATCCAAAAGGTGCATTTGTGGGGTACGATAAAGATATCTAACAAATTAAAAATAAGAATGATACATTTTAAATCAAAATCATCTCACTATGCAGCTCAATAACGTAAAGGAAAAGTAAAGGAAATTTCTAGGTTATGACAACAAGAGAATCCATAACCTCTGAATTTACTGAGAAGCAGCATTGAAACTTATTACAAAATCATGCTTCATGAGCATACCGTGCACCGTGGGCTTGAAGTTCAGTTTCTCATCAAGCTGAAGTAAGTGGAAATTGGAAATAAAAATACTTTTATTAAACGATGCGAAGTGCAATCAAGTAAAGGCCGAGATATATTCAGAAAAATGGAATTTACAGAAAATAGATACCTCACGTGACTTCTCAACACCAGGAACCGATCTGAAACCGGTCAACTGGCTGCATCTTGATGGAATGCTGGTTGGAAAACAGAAGCATTGGTAGCAGCCAAGCTCATAGTCTTCAGATAAACCGAAGGTTC